TCTCGCTGCCGCGAGGGCCGAGCTCGGGAAGCTGCCTGGCACGGGTGCCTTCTCCAGAAAACAGCCGGCAAAACTCCCGCGGCCCGGGCCCGGGCTTCCTCCTCGCCCTCCGGGCTCCCAACATCTGCCCGGGCCCCCTAAAGACCTAAGGAGCGGCGGGTTTCCAGAACCTTCCGGCCGCGCCAGACTCTCCCTGGTCTAACCTGGTCCAGCCCCAAGGTGCCCCCTCCACCTTCCCTCTCCCTCCCTAACTTTCCCTGGCCTAGCCTAGTCCCCCCAACCCTCTCACCAGATAATTTCAACTGACCCTCGGGACCGTCTTCACCATGTAACGTTCACCCAAGCGACTCATGCGTGCACTCAATAAGCCTCTAGGTTCCATATTTCTCGCCCCAGCAGTTCTTCCAACAAAGCCCCTTACTCCACGGATTCTTCGATAAAGAAAAACCGCATGAAATTCCCTACCAAAAGTATCAACAATGCCCTCCAATAATGATGTTTGGATTAATAAGAGTTAAGAGTTCTTGAGACCATGTGCCAAGCATTCTTCGGAGTATGTCAGGGCATTCTCTCCAGCAACTCTTTGAGGTCAGAACCATTATTCCCAACTTACAGCTGGTGAAAGAAAGGCATAGGGAGGTTGGGTGATGTGCCCAAAGTCAGGCAACTCTTGAATGGTGAAGCCAAAATTTGAACCATAACTCAGAACCCTTACTGGATCATTATGGTAGCTTCATCTTCGCTCATTACAAACACAAACCCAGCAACTAAATATTACGTGCCTGCAGAGCATCACGTTGATCTCTATTCAGTGATGCTGAAGAGTCACAAAAGGGGATGAAAGGAGGCCAGGTTCGGTGGCTCAGCCTGTAATTCCAGCACTCTGGGAGGCCGAAGTGAGTGGATCGCCTGAGCCTGAGGGTTCGAGACCCGCCCGGGCAACTTGGCGAGACCTCATCTCTACAATAAGTCAAAAATGAGCCGGGGGTGGTAGCGCGCACCTGTAGTTCCAGATACTCGGACGGCTGAGGCGGAAGGATCGCCGGAGCCCAGTAGGTCGAGGTTGCGGTGCCCGGGAGCGGCCACTGCACTCCAGTCTGGGCGACAGAGTGAGACTCCAACTCAAAAAAAAAAAAAAGGAGAGTAGTTCATATGGAACAGAGAAAGCAAAAACTGGATTGTAGTGGATGGAAGCATGAATAGAAGTTTAAATTGTCGAGACAGCGGAGCAGACAACCCTGTGCTTCCAGAAACGATGGAGGGGAGATCAGGCACCGAGAAGTGGACTTGTGATGCACTGGTGCACTCTGCTATGAACAGCAGTTAGGAAATCTGCCCACCTTTCACAAGCACCTCCACACAGATCTCCAGATGCACACCCTGAAGGTGGATGTGTAACTTCTCCCTCAGTGCCTTCTGAGGCCAGGACTTGACCTCCCAGCTACTCAGATACCAGCCCTCACAGCGACTGTCCCGCCTGGATTGTGGAGAACCTCTGGGTCCAGACAGCCCTGGCAGCTGCCATCTCCCTTCACTCAGATGGCTTCCTGAGCCCTCTGTCCCTGTTCCTTTGTGTTTGTTCAGGGAGTTCTGCTACCTCTCCTCTTTTGTCTCTTATTCTTTAAGATGCAAATTAATAAGATCAGGAGCATTATGTACCAGAAATAAAAAACACAAACAAACCCCAGCCAAATAACTAGTTGCTCTCTTTCCACTTTACTTCTCCAAAATCAGTGGCCAACAGATATTCTGTCATTGTTTCTCAGCTACAAACGCACCCCTGTCATCTCCCTGCTGTTCCCCACAGACTTGATTTAAGTTGAGATTGCACGTTCCCAGCTGCTTTTTATTTTGTTTTTTAGCGATGCTCTCTTTAAAACTCTTAACCATTCTATTGTCATCAGCACTTACTTATTCAGGGCAATCTCATGTCATCAGGTCTTTATTCAAGATTAAACCCATCTACCCAAGGAAGACTTTCAGGAAAAAAAAAAAATAACGTAAAGGAAAAATTAAGACTCATCTAGTTTGACTGAAAACAACCAGAAGAATTTGCAGCACATTACAGTACACAGACCAGTATAACTTACTCTTTCTTTAAAAGAAGACTTAAAAAATTCTGATAGCAAGCTATTATCTCTCTCTCTCTCTCTTTTTTTTTTTTTTTTTTTTTGACAGAGTCTCACTCTGCCACCCAGGCCAGGCACACTCACGACCACCGCAGCCTCAACCTGCTGGGCTCAGGAGATCCTTCCATCTCAACCTTCCAAGTAGCTGGAACTACAGGTGTGTGCTACCATGCCTTGCTAATTTTTTAATTTATTGTAGAGATGAGATCTTGCCAAGTTGTCCAGGCTGGTCTCGTAACCCATGGGCTCAGGCAATCCTCTCACCTCGGCCTCCCAAAGTGCTAGGGATTATAAATGTAAGTCACCGCACCCAGCCTCAAGCTATTTTCTCTTTAGAATTTGTGCACTGATTCAGCCTTGATTTTCTAGATCTGAGGCAATGGTCTAAGTCAGCTGTTTCAGAATATCAATTCCTCTTCCTTATAAATCTTATTCTGAGGACCACTTCAGTGATGAAAATGATATGCTACCATCTAAAGTGATATATGCATCCAAGGTCTTACAATGTGCTATGGATCAAAGAATATGAAGATTGTTTGGAATAGAATTTTGTCGCTAACTGAGTCAAAAGCCCAGCTGAAGTTTAAAAATCATAAATTCATAGTCACTAAAACTCACAGAGTTGTGTACTTTTTTGCAGGGAATAAGTATAAGAGTGGAAATGATGAGTAGTTGCATTGATCCAGAATCAGAGTTTTGCCAATGAGCATGCAAGGTACTAGGAGACAAGGAAATTGAAGGAAGCCATTGGTATGGTTTAAATATTTCTCCCTCCAAAACTCATGTTGAAATTTCATTCCCCATGTGGCAGTATTGGGAAGTGGGACCTTTAAGAGGTGATTGGCTCATGGGGTGCTTTGGATCAATCCATTCATGGATTAATGGATTAACAGATTGATGGGTCATCATGGCAATGGATCTGGTGGCTTTTTAAGAGGAAGACAGACCTGAGCTAGCACAGTCAGCCCCTCACCATGTGAAACCCCGAGCCACCTCAGGACTGCAGAGTCCCCACCAGCAAGTCTCTCACCATGATGCATCCCCTTGACCTTGGACTTCTCAGTCTCCATAACTGTAGGAAAATTCCATTTTGTTTATCAAGTATCCTCTGTAAGGTATTCTTTTTTTTTTCCTTGTTTTTTTTTTTGAGTTGGAGTCTCACTCTGTCACCCAGACTGGAGTGCAGTGGCCACTCCCGGCCACTGCAGCCTTGACCTGCTGGGCTCTGGCGATCCTTCCACCTCAGCCTTCCGAGTAGCTGGAATTACAGGCACGCGCTACCATGCCCTGCTGATTTTTGATTTATTGCAGAGATGCAGTCTTGCCAAGTTGCCCAGGCGGGTCTCGAACCCGCGGGCTCAGGCAATCCACTCACCTCAGCCTCTCAAGGCGTGGGATTACAGGCTGAGCCACCGAGCCTGGCAAGGTATTCTTTTATAAGCAACAGAAAACACACTAAGAGAAGTATATTGATAAGAAAACAACTCCTGCATTAAATCACAAAATGTGGCACATTGCTAGGTGTCTCTCAACTTCTATTCCCTTCTTCCTTAGTAAAAAAATTCTCAATTTCTTGCTGTGCACATGGTCATGTAACAGATGTAACCACTCATTTAAATTTTAAGTTAAATTAGTTGCCCTCTGACTAGGCTAACTGTGCTTAAGCAGAAATAATCATACAACTTCCCATCAGTGTCCTTAGCATGAGGAGGAATTTTCTTCTCCTCTTTCCTGCTGGCTGGAAGGCAGACAGAATAGCTAGAACTCCAAGAGCCAACCTGGCTAATGAAATAATTTTGAGCCGAGCTCAGTGGCTCTGTCTATAATACCAGCACTTTGGGAGGCCAAGGTGAGTGGATTGCCTGAGCCCGTGGGTTTGAGACCCACCTGGGCAGCGAGACCTCATCTCTACAATAAATCAAAAAATCAGCCGGGCGTGGTAGCGCATGCCTGTAATTCCAGCTCCTTGGAAGGCTGAGGTGGAAGGATCACCGGAGCCCAGCAGGTCGAGGCTGCGGTGGCTGGGAGCGGCCACTGCACTCCAGTCTGGGTGACAGAGTGAGACTCCAAATCAAAAAAAAAAAAAAAAGAAAGAAAGAAAGAATTTTGATAATAAATGTCATGTAGACTGAGTAACAAGACAGAAGGATCCGGGAGTTTTTGAACCTTGATGAGAGGATGGTGAGATAACCAGACTTATGCTTCCAAACTCAATACCCATAGAAGATGACTTTTTAAAAAATTAGGTGAAATAAAAGGCTTAGGAAAATCAGTTCAGTTCTTATTTCTCCATTCTGACCACAGGGAGCATCTGAGACTGGGAGTAGCATTAGAGATCATCTATTCTGATCACTTTTTTATTTATTTTTTATTTATTTATTTTATTTTATTTTTTGAGTTGGAGTCTCACTCTGTTGCCCAGACTGGAATGCAGTGGCCGCTCCCGGC